ACACCGAATCCTTGCCAGGGCCCACCACACCCTGCCCACAGCATCCTGGCAAAATGCCGCTGCTCTCCAGGAGGGACCAGAGCTGCAGGCACCGAAGGTGCGGGGTGCTGGCCCAGCTCCTCAGAGCTGTTGTGTGTGCATGACACCCATCTGTGGGACCTGCCTGTTCAAATACTGGGGAACAAGGCTTTCACGTGAGATGGGAGCCCGCTCCTTCCCTCGCAGGCTCCGTCCTCCAGGCCAACACCTCCGGAGCATCCCCAGCACAGAGCAGCCTGGCCTTCCAAGGTCACCCCCAGCAGGCCAACACCTGGGGACGATCCTGCTGCCGCCAGCACATCTTGGCCAAGGGAAACTGAGGCACACAGAGCCTTCCAGCTTCCCCAAAGCTGGCTCCTGTCCTGACGCTCCCTTCCCCCGGCAGCCAGCGGTCTCCGTCCCGTGCCAGCAGGAAGCGGGGTGGGAGCGGCAGCGGAGCAGGGCTTCCCTGCGCTTTGTTCTCCCCCAGCCCCGAGTGCACACGGCCGACACGTGATATCCTGCTCATTCTTTGCTCCCCCCGATAATTTCCGCCCCGGGTTCGGCGCATGGCGGTGCCCTCCCGCCCGTCTCACGCTTCTCCCACCTCTGCCGGTCTCACGCAAGGACACCGGGGAGCCATTTCCCCCGTGACCTCCCAGCTCCTGGAGCAGGCGGCATGGCCCACAAAACCTCCCCGAGCCGTCGCCCCTGCCACATGCCGGGGAAGGGGAGGCAGCCAGCGATGTGCAGGCCATGCTGCTTCACACCCCGTTTTCATTTTGAATCAGACCTTTATGTTCTGTCCCGGGGGATTTCAGGCCCAGACTGTTTGCAGTGAGGCGGCCGACAGCCAGAGCCGAGGGAACTCCAGCCCCGCGCTTGGGATTATTTTTTTTAAAGAGTTATGGGCCAGTCTCTGCAAGGGAATTTCAGACAATGGAGTGAGACAGAGCCCTAGTAGAAGGGAAAAAATAAATACTGCTTCCTGCGAGCACTGGGAGACTGTGCTGTCGTCCCCCGGCCCAGACAAACACGGGCAGCAGTGCAGTGTGACTCTCCAGCCCTGCCTGCTCAGCAAGCCCCGGCCTCGGGAGCAGCCCTCCTGAAAAAGCCCGGCTCCAGACCCTGATTTCAGGCAGCTGGGCCAGGGCAACGACCAGCGAGGCCACAGCACCGACCCCTGCGCCAGGGCTGCGTGCCAGGCGGCTGCTGCGCTGCAATTCCCCCTTTCCCAAAGCCGGGCGGTCAGAGCAGCAGGAAGTCACTGAACGGCGTCCGCGTGAGTCAGGCCAGAGCAAGTGATGCTCCTCCAAACCCTGCCCACCAGCCTCCCCCGTGGATGAGCCACGGGGAGCTAAGGGCTGGGAGGAATCTATTTTCGCATCCGAAGAGCGCCAAGGAGAGGCAACGGCTCTCTGTACCTCGGCACAAAAGCAGGACCCACCTCTCTGTGCGGTGTCAGTGACTGGTCAGGTTTTCCACTCTGTGCCATAAAGAGATCTCTGGCCTTTAAAATTGAGAACAACCTAATTAGAAACAGAAACCTTTGGTAAAATCCCAGGACTCCCACTGCTCTGGAGAGAACAGCCTGGCAAAACCTGTGTTTTTTAAAACACAGCAGCCTCTGGATGGGCAAGAGGGACCCAGACCTGGCCCCCCCCAGGGGAGCAGCACCATGGGGAAGATGTCCCTGATAAAACTGATGGCACATCGTTGCATTTTGAACAGGAATCCTCACCCAGAAGGTCACATCGAGGCAAGCAGCCTCAGAAAAGCACCTTCTAGGCTGGATTTGTTGGCCTGGTATCAAATCTGATGCAAGATGAGACTAAGAAAACTTCTTTCCCTCTTTGGGGGGAAGGGGACGAGTAAGAAAAAAAAATAAATTGGCCTGAAGTTTGGCAGAAGAAATTCCAAAGCAAGCTGTGGTCTTAAAACAAATAAGCACTGCCCTGCAGTGTTTGCAATGCAAGTGCTCCCAGCCAGGGAACCTGAAAGTGAAATAAACTGCAGACAAGTGCAAGTGACTTCAGCACCTCCCCAAAACAGAACCACAAAAACACTGCAAGTACCATAAAGGGGGCAAAAACACACTCAAGCAATCATCTGAAACCCAAAGAAGGGGTTCATGTTGTTTTTGTTGAAATATTGGGTTCTTTTTATTTGCCATATGGTTTTGAGCATGCCAGCTCTGCTCCAGTCACATTTACAAGCTTTTCCCTGCAGTCATGAGGGTGAGAAAAAGGGACTGGGTGTGGGGGGTTTTTTGTTGTTTTGGTTTGATTTTTTTTAAAAAAAAAAAGAAGAAAAAGCTGCCATTCTAGTGCTAGCACTTGTCTCCGAGACCTGTGACTTGGACTGAAATATCAAGACTCAGGAAGTTCCTGGCCACATTTGCAAGTATAAAATGCTGAAAAGTTGTATTTTTAAAAATTTCTTTCCTGTATAGTGAGACCTCATGGCTGCCGAGAAAGGACTTGTACAATACCATCTGGGGCACATTGTTCTAGGCCCTTTATACACACACAGTGTTCCTG